TATGAAACTCGCCTTTCAGTATCATCTGAAAGAATGGGGGCAAAAAATAACTTTGGGTGCAAAGGGTTAAGCGCATCAGGCAAAGATTTTCTTTCTCCTACACCCGTTTCCCAACTTTCCTTCTTTTTTTTTAGCCCTGTCCCAACGTTGACTTTCGTTTTTTTCAATTTTTCAACATCAAGCCCGGTTGGGTTCTATGTATGACAAGAGAAAAATGAATGTTGCATAGATTGGCGGGGTGGAGATTTCTTTTATTCCTTATTCCCCCTGAATACTTTCCCTTTTTATGTTTTATCATGAGATTTGGAAGCTGTCTGGCAACTTTGATAATTTTACACTTAATTTCATTTATGTTTTCTGCTTGCCCTGAACAACCTGCTCCTTTATCATTACCACTTTCTTAGCGGCCCCGATAAATGTTGGCATTTCGAGGGTTAAAGTTCGGCTAAGCGATGCATTTCAATCTTTGCCAAGTTTTCTGCACACTTTCTTTCTCGGCAGCTTTGAAACGTAACAAGTTTATTTCGTTATTGATATGCAGCTGGAAGTTTTTCTTTCCTTGTGGAGCATGAGAGTTTAAGTCGGATCTGAGGATGTTGCCTTAGGGGATACTCTTTGTTAAATTTAATATTATTTTTAGCAATGTATTGTCTCACAATCGGTTGAGGGATTTAAGGAAGTTTTAAACAAAATAGAGGGGATGCTTAGTATGTTAGTATTTAATTCAGGTAATTATTAAAGTACTCTTATAATATCCCATACCCCAGCGAACCAAGCACGATCAAATTCGATGCCCTCTTAAGACAGCTAACAAACTTTGATGCGCGTATATTACTCAGCGAAGAGAAGGCCAAGCCCCACTTAATTCCCACTCGCATTTCAACGGCAATGCGAATCTCAACTGCAGCTGAAGTTTTTGCCTGTTTCGAGTGCATAAATCTTGCAGTGTGCGCGAATTACTTAGGGCAAAAACAGGCAAAGAAAACTTTCAGCGGAGAACAAGGAACTAAGTCACGCCTACCCGAGAATCTGCCAATGTTTTCGATTTACTCCCTATACACCCACCCCATACGGATCCCAATCCCCATCCTTACCGAGTATGCAAAATAGCAACAAGCGCATTGTGAACACGGAAATTGAATCGAAAAGCTGCTACTGCTGCCTTAGTAGTTCTTGTGGCTGTTTGCCGGGGCTTCGAGCTCCGAGCGCCGGGCCAACAAAAATACTCTTGCCATAAAGTTAAGAAAAACATCAACCAGGCAAATGTAAAGAGCAGCTGGGGGAAAACTTTCCACGGGATCCGGGGTGCTGGGAAATGGCAGGCGATTGGTTTTTACTGGCCATCGAATTCAAATTTTTTGTTTCAATTTAAGAACCTTGGCTACACGGTACAGCTTTTGGTTTATACGCTAATGGATAACAAAAAGTTTACATTTGCGTAGTATTATCATGTAAGACCAGAAATCAAAATATTTGTTGGAGGAAAATGTTTCAGACAAAAATTTATGTATTTAGTAAAAAAATAATAAATGCATAAATCATTAATTTTTCAATCATTAAATATATTTCACTAATATTATAATTGTAAAGAATGTTTATGCTAAAAAATGAAATTTAAAATAAAAACTGGAAAAAAACAAATAAGCAAATAACTGTGTAAACCAGATATCCTATTACGTGCAATAATGCACAAAAAATTAAATTCAGGCTGTGCTTTTGCATTGAAACTTTATTAAAGTCGGTCTCCCATTTTTCTAGCTCCTCCGAGTGGAAAGCAATATTTAGAATATTTGGCCGGAACTATTTGAGCAACAATTTCATGTTTTTTTGCAGCTGATGTTTTTTGCAACTAGATGCTTCCATTTTCTATTCAAAAGCATAGTTGCAACTTCAGAACTCCAACCCCTCAATTTCAGCACCAATTTTCATTGAACATTCTTCTTGCGGAAATTTCGCTGCTGGCAGATCAATCTTTTGCCATACCCACTAAAAACCAATTTGTTTGTTTTCAATTGATTTTTATTTTCATCTGCCTGCACTTAAATTTATTTCTGATCGATTCGAAAGGCTATTTGAAGACAGCGGTTAAATAAAATGTTTAAAAAATTGGAAGTTGGCGGCAGTATAATAAAGAATAATAAAGAATAGAATAATTCTCTGATTTTTCAACAAAAAATGTTTTCTTTCTCAAAATCATATCTACTTAAAGTGAAAATTGGAAACATAAACATATTTAATATTAATAAGGTATCGATAATGATTTATTTTCCCTACATTTTTAAGAAGTATTTAATTGCTGACAAAAGTTAAATTTCCCACAAAAAAAGGATCAAATATTTAATTACACGGACACGAAGTAGAAAGTCGATTCCCAATAATTGTTTCCACTCTTGACCTTACTTGGGTGTTGACCTAAACTCAGGCTTCTAAACAAAAAGGTAAGTTTCTACTTTCATAGCAAACGCACATGGGGAATATGATATGGAAATGGCTTCTGCTTGCGGATATTTTAAATGACAACTTAGTGAAAAGGGTTCAAAATAGGGAGTGAGTAAAATATATAATTTCGAGCGGGTAAAAGTGTAATATTACTCCCACTCGTTACACGCAAACAAATAAAAAATGAACTTAAGTTTAGTTTCGTAAATAATATTTCTATGATTAAAGTCAATTTAAAGAATTCCAAATTTATTTTTATAAACCCACTCAAAGAGCTTTAACATATTTTTAAATGAATAGCTAGACAGCTGATAATCTTTTACCATAATTAGTTTTCTGTGTATGTAAAGCACAAAGGATTCGAAATTCTGGACACAGGATAGGACTTCGTGACCTGAGTGACTTTGAATTTAAGGAATGCCGACAGCTCTGACATGTTCCTCCATATCCATTTTTCTTCCGTATTCCTCCTTCCCTAGAGAAGTCGGCTGTGTTTCTGGGTTCCTGTCAATTACGAACGGAAGGCAGAGATCTCTCGCATCTGCCAGAAATTATTACATCAACTAATTGCAATTGGCAGTGAGTGAGCGTGGATGAGGGCAGATGGGATTTTTTTTTTGGGCCAGAAAAAGTTGAGCGCAAATGAGGCAAAAACCGTGGCATACTTTTCGGCGCCCAGCCCTCATCTGCGCGTGTTTGTGTTGGTTTGTTTGCCAACGCTTAAAGGCAAGGAAAACCATGTCAATGACATCTGACACGTGACCCTTTTCCCTTTTCACATCCTCCACACACACACATATGGAGAGCCTCACGCACTCACACTTGCGCAGGCAGCCATAAAGCAATAACCATAAACATTTTGTCAGGGCATCCAGAAGTTGTCCCTCTTTGTTGTAGTGCAACCTTTGTTAAGAAAGGTATGCCAGGCTGACCAAAAATTTTAATACTATTCATACACAAAAACCTGAACAAATACATGAAACTTAGTAATAATAATATGAGAACTTTGGATAAGTTAAAATTTCATCCTAATTGTCTTGGTTTTGAAAGCCAAATAAAATTATAGCTTTTATTACTATAAACTATAAACGCATATTCAATTATGTCTTAATAAAATAACATGATAAATATTGCAGGTGTATCCTGTTAAGCGGTAAACAATTATGTTGTAATTTTTTAATATTATAAATAAGAGGTATGTTTTTTGTTCGGAAATCTTAGAGCTCTTCTCCTACCACAATATAAGTTTTTTTGGGCGTCGTTTCGACGTGATTAGATGCGATTGTGCGCGCAATTGAGCGAAATTGATGGCAATGCCATTAAAAGGTATGGCTGGTCCTGACTTTCCTTGAGGCCACGCCCACCGCCCTGTGGCGAGCCCTTCTTTTCCGCTAAACGCTGCATTGGTTTCACTTACGACGTCACCATCAGCGCTGCCCTCGCCATCGTCGTTCATAATTAATTTTCTAGTGAATTTACTTTCATGGCATTATGGTTGGCTGAGAGTGGAGCAGCGTAGGAAAAGTCCCGCCGCTTTTCCATCCGCTTTCCAATATGCCAACCCGCTCCCCCACCCCCTGTGGGCTTATAAAAGTTATTTCAGTTGCGGCATTTATTTTAATTTGAAAACTATTTCCCATGCCTTCCATCGCCTTCCTGCTTATGCTCATTATTTTCGCATGACTTTAGTTGAATTTTTAGTACACTATTTTCCGCTTTATTGCGTATACGCAGCGTAGACCGCTTTCGTTTTAATTTGGATATGGCGTGTGGCCAGTAACTGGTTAGATTCGCGGGAGGCCCTTGAAGCCAAATCAGTTATAAATATTAGCACACAGCCCCCCTAATGGCAGCATAATTGTGTGGCGTGTCAGGATTTCGGCGAGGCCAACTTTTTGATATCCTGTACAAATGATCGCTCACCTTTGGGTCTGGATTGGCTGTGCCCCACAGGGTATGCAAATACATATCGAAATACGCGGCGTAGTTAAGAGCGCAAATTATTTGCACGAAAATATTTTTATGCCCAGAAGACTGGAGGCCGCCGGGCCACTTCCGGAAAAGTCGCGCAACTTGCCACTTGGCGTGTGTGGCGCACATTTCGCTCCTCGGGGAGTCGTTGCCCCAGCCAATTTGCAACTGCCAACAGCCAGTGGTGCTCATTTTATTTTTTTGGAAATAAAGAATTGCCTGGCGTTTAAGAAACCACAGACTATTTGTTTTTTTGTCTTTAATAAAAGAAAAATATATATAAAAGATAAAAGATAAAAAAATGTATTAATCAAGCCACCAAATTAAGTTCGAGCCATGAAGACATTACCAAGAGTAATAAAATTTCAGTTATGGAATTTCGACAGTAATAAAAATTTGTCTGGAGCAACAACCGAGTAAGAAATTGTAGTCTGGCCGGAAAAAAGGCTCAATAACCATCACTGCCGCTAAGGACATACCAAAAGAAAAAAATTGAAAAGCGGCCAGCCCAGAAAGAAGTAGTAGTATCAGAAGTGGAGGTATTGTTTCTGAAGCCCGGCAATTACCTTTGATTGGTCACTTAAGGTACGTTCGCGATCTTGGATCAAATTTTATTGGCAAATGATTTAAGGAAAGTTATAGAGTAGACACAAGGTCAGACTGTGATAAAACGTACAATTTTTTTTAGAAATTTAACTTGAATTTTGTACACAACACACTTGTAATGGAGAGTGAGCATTCACTGTTCGCTTTCGAGCTTTTTGAAAATAGCAGCGGCAGACTTGAATTGTTCCCTTTTGCAGTTGGTGCACTTGGAGTCCTGGGAATTGTTGACTGGAATTCTGGCCACCGGTTGAGCCGAATTCAGGTGCAGTGGTTCCGTTTGCAGGGCTATCTTGGCCTCGAAAAAGAGTTTTGCCCCACTGACGCCCACCTGGGATACGTCTACGGCTTGACTCGTGGCCAAACGCTGATTATCGCGATCCTGCAGAGTCCACTTGCGTAACTCCATGCGGTGCATCAAAGTTCCGTGGACGAGTAGAACCTGGCAGAAGTTCATCCGCTCCTCGTGATTACCCACCACATGGGTCATTACATTTTTGACTGCCAAATGGGTCTGTGGCATCTGCAATATCTCCAGGAATCTCTTGAGTTCTGTCAGACTTATATATCCATCCAGATCTTCATCCACCTGCATAAAACTGGAAAAGGCTGATTCTATTTCGCTGCGATTGAACCAAGCCGAAAAACGTTGTTGGACTTCTTCTAAGCTTATTTCGTAATCACCATCACTGCCTTCGGGCGTGAGGATAATGGATCGTTGTTCCATTACGACTTTAACGTAGGAGGAATTTTCCTTGAGATTTTCACCAGAGTAGGGCTCTTTTTCCAGCTTATCCTGTTGCTGATTGTTATTAGGATCCGTTAGAGCAATCTCAACGCCACTATCCAAACTCACGGTGGATGCGTCGGGTAGCTCTCTTTTGAGGATCGATTGTCTGATGTATTTGTAGGAGCAACAGGAAGTGAATGACGAACCGGAAGTGAGCTCCTCCTCTTCTAATGAGCAGAGCTCTTGCGTAAGCTTTATGTCATTGGGATCTTCGGTTTCCTCTGATTTTTCAAGTTCCTTTGTGTATTCCGCCTCCTCTAGAGCTACTAGAATATTCTCCGCCTCCACTGGAACCCTGAAGTCCTCCTCAGCAAGCTCTGGACTTTGCGGCTTGGTGTCTACCTCATAGCAATCCTCAACCTTCAACAACTTTTCAATCTCGATTTTAAGAAAGTTTCGGAGAGACGTCTGACTTTTGTTTAGCGTTGCTGCTGGGATTTCGAACTCGTCCCCGACGCCGAAAGCCTCCGACATAATATGCAGTTTCAGTTTTGCAACAAATTAATTGCAACGAAGGTACACAAAAAATAGTTACCAAAGTACATATGTAAAAATTATAAATGTAAAAAGCTTGATTTTTTTTAGTTTATAATTTGCCTAAGGTTTCTGATATACTTTTCGTGTATGACTGACAGTTAAATCAACAGTGTCAGTGAAACGTGTATTTTCCGTTAACAATTAAACTTTTAAATTATATAACCGTTTTTTTAATGTTAAAAATTTAGTTGTCAATGTTTCAAATGTTAATATAAATTTTTTTAAATTTAATTTTAATTTAATTAATACATGTATATAAATCTGATTACTTAGACTTTACTTACTTATTCTTCTGAAAAAAAGAGTCTTTAATCTTTTTAGGCATAATTTTAAAAGTGTTCGGAAAACAATTCTGAATTAGTTAAATGATCTTTTTTTCATATAGATATAATGGGCTTAAGTAGTAGATGGGTATGATTTTTACATATAAGTAAATCTCCTATAACTTTGTTCGTGTTCTAGTTACTGAGGTTGTTTGTTCATTAATGATTGAATGGCTCTCGTATTCCCCACGAAGGTCCTACCAATTCCCCGTCAAGTTTTTTACGGTCGGGGCTCCTGAGTCCCATCTCCACTTGAGATTAATGGCTAAGGACGAATTTCGGCACGTCCGCTCGGTGCGGGCCCAGTTAACATGCCATGGCCATAAACAGTTAATTAAGCTTTTATTGGTTACTCTTTTTGTTTGGCTTTCGGACCGCCTGACCGGCTGACTGGCTGACATTTCACGTTTTATTTGTCAAACAAGCGGCCAAAAAGTGACGACCATAAACGGCGACCCAACCGCCTTGGTTGCGGCTATATGGCCACCGATCCACCTCCGACTTTCGGAGGAGCTAGTTGCCGTGTGGCATCTCCCCCCGTTTTTTGCCTGGCTTATTTATTCACTCATTTCGTGTGCAAAAATATTTGGTGATAACGAGCTGGCAGCCCACGGCGACTTGTCATGTTTAAACCACATTTATTTGCCGCTGCCTTTGCCCGGGCGGCAATAAAAAAGTGTTCGTATTTCGTATATAAGCGAAAATTTTTTGTTTTGCTGGCTTGTATTCATTCTTTTTTTTTTTTTTTTTTCCGGGTTAGCGAACGAGCGGCGAGAAATGTCAGCAAAAAGTTTCGGGCTTCGGCATTTAATTTACATAGCAAAGTTTTCCTTATTTCGACAATGCTGATTATAAAATTTCCGGCGAAATAAGAACGGGCGAAAAAGCCTGACAACTGGGTTAAAGCATCGCAAGGTACCAAAAAAAGGTTAGCATGGGGAGTGGGTGGAGGAAAGTTGTGCAGCTCTTTAATCAATCCCACAACACAAAAAAAGTGTTCTTATAAAAAGAAAATATTTTTATAACAAGCCATTTGCGAACTAAATTTTAGTTTAACCACTTCTTTGAGTATGATAAAAAATTGTATATTTAAATAGGCAGGGGAAACATTCAGAGTTATTGGTATTCTTAAAAAAGAGTTCAAGATCCATTATTTTCAGAGAGATTTCCGTTTTGGGACTACCTACGACCTGAAAAAGCCTCCTTTCTGCCAAGAGAAACTTTTGGCTTGGCCCAAAAGTGTCAAAACAACTGGCTCGGAGGCTGCTCCGCCCAAAGAAAGTGTAAGTTGTTGATTTCTTAAGCCAGCGCAAACAAAGGATGATGGCAGAGTCCCCCTTTAAATGTAAGAACACCCACAAGAGCTACTCTGCTCTTGGCCAGTGGCCAAAAGTCATTTTTTGCCAGTGGCTTTCGACTTTCGGGAAGTTCATGAAAAACTGCAAGCAAAATTGAAATGCAGGCTTGCGCATAAATTGCAGACCAACAGCCGTGTAACATTTGGGAAAAACAAATAAAATCACTGCCTGCTGGTCGATCATAATTAATGATTGCAACTGGCATTTTACATTCCGTTGCGGGGCATAATAAATCTCAATATAACTCAGGCGATTGTTACTGTCTAAGCTTTGACATTTGATGAAAGGGTTGGGCCTCCTCTTTTGGGGATCCTGCATCAACCGTTTGTCAAAGAAGGTCCAGCTTAAAGCCCAAAACACTTGGCTCAGGTCCAGTTTTTGCTCAAGAAAAAAGTATATATAAGTATAGGCCCGTATACATATATCTTTGCCTTTTCCCTTTCTTTAGTCTGGAAAGCCAAATTGATTGCTTGAAAAATTTCAGCCTCATTCCCGGGCATTTTCAGTCATTCAGAGCCCTTGCCTTTTTTCGCCCATTTATTTTTTGGTCGTTTGGGATTTCACTTAATTGAAACCTTAAATGTTTTTACATTGCGTTCGCCTACAGCGTGAAACGAAGCCGCAGCACGCGATAGAGGTTGCAAAAGGCAGTATCCGTGAAGCTAGCAAGCTTTTTACTGGGCTCATTCAAACCCACATGGGAAAAACGGAAACACACATTCACAGAACCAAAGTCAATCAATCAAATTGCCATTCAATATTTGCCGGACTTTGGTTAGTTTATCAGTATTTTTAAAGGATTTCGAGGGCTGCGAGTGTCACTTTACTATTGACCTTTTTGAAGCCAATATCTGTGCAATAAAAAAAACATTTTTTTTTACATTATATATAGTTAATAGTTCGATTCAAAAAATATGTCCTAAGAAATTTAAAATCTTTTTAAAAGGTGGCCAAAATTAGTTACATATTTTTTTCAAAAATTTTTTTTACTATATTTTTTAAGCAGTCTGAACCTAGAGAAAATTTTAATTATTCATTAAGTCCTTGAGTAAAAGGACGATATTTTTATAATTTTATATTCCTTTTCGTCGGGGTCGTTGACCCTTTGCCGGCAATTAAAGTGACCCCTTAAAATAAATAAAAAATTAAGGTTATACACCCAATTTCATTTCTAGTATATATTTGTATGGCCATTAAAGTCATAATTTCACATTAAATGCAGACGTGACTGCGGCAAAGAGCGGACCGCCGAAATGTCCCAAAGGGCGCCACATGAACCCAACTGAGGCGACCCTGTCTTGGCGGCCGTTTTTCTTTTTCCCTGGCTTTCCCGCCAGGCAGCACAAACATTAATAAGTCAATTGATGTTTGGTTAACCCACCGTGGTGGCAAGGGGGTGAATGTTAGCCAGTTCGGCCAGTTCGTCATTCAAGTGGCAGAGGCTCCCAGGCGGCGACATGCGTGTGCTCGCATTTATCCCAACGGGAACTGAGACTAATTGCAATTTATGTACGCAATAAAACATTCGCCAAACGGCTGTCATTCGTTACGGCCGATGGTTATAAATTTATGAAGAAAACAAATTCGACGATTGGCCCGGGGCTTTATTAATCAAGTCGCTGCCAGGACAGCGGCCCCCTGGTGACCTGGAGTCAATTGGAGTCAATGCTCAAATAATCACCGCAACTCGGGCACACAAAAAAAAGGGAAAATGAATGCCTTGATTGGGTAAGCCGGAATTTGATTTAACGCGCGGAATCAGGGCATAAAGGCCATTAAAAAATTTACTACTGCATTACATAAGGATCCAAAGAACACAAAATTTAACTGCCGCAGTCGTTACGCTCGAGGCATTAAAAGTAATCTGCTTAGCATTTTGCGGGAAATTATTCGACCAGTAGAAACAGGTGGCCAAAGGATACTGAACGAAAAGGATTTCGGTCGGGAAGTGCGGATGCTCTTTTGGCGGATTAAAGGTATTTTTTAAGTGCCATATTTTTGTGCCTATGAAAAATGTATCAATGAAACAAATGAATAAAGCCCCAATTTTTATTTAAGTGCGGAAATATGGAGCTCTTTAATCGATTTTTTTCAGCAAACAAATTGTAATATTCAGAAATAATAAATCAACATATAAAAACGTGACAATTTTTTATTTAAAGTTTTGACTTAAATTATTTTCTATTAAACAATTTTATAAGTTAAGGTACAGGTTGCAAACTATTTGAAAAACCTTTAGTACCCTTTATTAAAGTCACCCTAAGCTGCAGCAAATTTAGCAGCAACCAGCGATAGAGATAGATGGGCAGGAAAAAGAAGGAGACGATCTACGGAAGCTGCTTTGGGCTTCTTCTCCATTTGAAGTGATTGCCGTGCACAATTCGCGCTAAAAGCTTTCACTTGCCAATTGCCGATGAAAACAAATGTGCCGCAGTCCGCAGTCTCCTCTTTTCCTATCTTCACCTAGTGCCTACTCAACCGGTTGGGATTGGCCCCAGCAGATGATTCTGTTTTTGCAGTTGTTTTGGCCAACAGAAGTCTAACTTGGCCAGCCGCATCAAGTTGGGGAAATGTGAATGGAAAAGAAAGCGAAGGGTAAATACTCTAAATAAATTATGGAATGACGTTGGATTCAAGTTAAGTAACAAGAAGTGAAAGCCAATATGAATTTAATACGTAACATTGTATAGTATTACACTTTGAAAAAGGTATTGAAGTCTTTATATATGTTATCACTTTATATATTTTCATTAAAAGGAATGATATTTTTGGTCACTATATTTTATTTATAAAATAAATCCATAAAATACTGTGGAAAGTTCTGTAAATATAAATATCGTAATTTAGATATATTAAAATTCCATTTCAATGCCCCTAATCGATTTCAAAATACATAGACACCTAGAGGAAGTAGCTCGGAAAACAAAGCACTCAGTGCTGCTCAATGGGGTTTTGCTATCAGCACAGAGCTAATTGAAAACTACTTCCCAGTCCACATCTATACACACTCACCCAGAAAAGACAGATGGAGAGCAACAGCCAGTGCTGCCAGCAGCCAAATTTAAAGCAGATTGCCAAAACGAGCATAGAAGAGAATCAATTAGAAACAGAAAACATTTTACTGCATATTTTAGTTTTTTTAGGAAAATGGCTAAATTTTTAGTTTAATGCCTGAACTTTTTTTTTCTAAATATTTACTGCTTAATCGGCATGTTGCCACGGCAAATGCGTATTTTATTATACTTTAAATAATTATACTTTAAATGTTTAAATTAAATAGCTTTTTTGGAAAAAAAATTGTTTATTCAAATTTTTTTGCAACAATGCGTTTAACTTAAAGAAAAAGTTAAAATTCGAAATAAAACTGTTTTATTATTATGTTATAAAAT